CTGGAGGACAAGAGGACATAAAGACAACAGAGACCAATCTAGCTGTGAAGCAAGGTACAGTGTAACAGGACCTGGATGTTTATAAAAGATTAAACTGTTAGAATCAAAGAATCATAGAATGGTTTGGGTTGGAAGGGACCTTAAAGATCACCCAGTTCCAACCCCCCTTGCCATGGGCAGGGACACCTTCCACTAGACCAGGTTGCTCAAAGCCCCATCCAACCTGGCCTTGAACACTTCCAGGGATGGGGCACCCACAACTTCACTGGCCAACCTGTTCCAGTGCCTCACCACCCTCACAGTAAAGAATGTCTTCCTTACATCTAACCTAAATCTACCCTCTTTCAGTTTAAAGCCACCACCCCTTGTCCTATCCCTATATGCCCTTGTAAAAAGTCCCTCTCCAGCTTTCTTGCAGATCTCCTTCAGGGCTGCTATAAGGTCTCCCTGGAGCCCTCTTTTCTCCAGGCTGAACCCCAACTCTCTCAGCCTCATAGGGGAGGTGCTCCAGCCCTCTGATCCCCTTTGTGGCCCTCCTCCACAGGTCCATGTCCTTCTTATGTTGGGGTCCCCAGAGCTGCATGCAGTACTCCAGGTGGGGTCTCATGAGAATAGAGGGGGAGAATCCCCTCCCTCGACCTGCTGGCCACGCTTCTTTTGATGCAGCCCAGGATATGGTTGGCTTTCTGGGCTGCAAGTGCACATTGCTGGGTCACGTTGAGCTTCTTATCAACCAACATCCCCAAGTCCTTCTCCTCAGGGCTGCTCTCAATCCATTCTCTGCCCAGCCTGTGTTTGTGCTTGGAATTGCCCTGACCCATGTGCAGGACTTTGCACTTGGCCTTGTTGAACTTCATGAGGCTTGCCATAGGCCCACCTCAATCCTGTTAGGGTCCCTCTAGATGGCATCCCTTCCCTCCAGCGTGTCAACTGCACCACACAACTTGGTGTTGTTGGCAAACTTGCTGAGGGTGCACTCAATCCCACTGCCCATGTTGCTGACAAGGTGTTAAACAGCACTGGTGCCAATACCAACCCCTGAAGAACAGCACTCATCACTGGTCTCCACTTGGATATCGAGCTGTTGACCACAACTCTTTTAGTGCAACCACCCAGCCAATTCCTTATCCACTGAGTGGTCCATCTGTCAAATCCACCTCTCTCCAATTTAGAGACAAGGATGCTGTGCAGGACAGTGTCAAATGCTTTGCACAAGTCCAGGCAGATGACGTCAGTTGCTCTTCCCTTATCCACCAACACTGTAACCCCGTTGCAGGTGGCCACCAAATTTGTCAGACAAGATGTGCCTTAGTGAAGCCATGTTGGCTGCCACTATCCTTGTAAAAAGTCCCTCTCCAGCTTTCTTGCAGATCTCCTTCAGGGCTGCTATAAGGTCTCCCTGGAGCCCTCTTTTCTCCAGGCTGAACCCCAACTCTCTCAGCCTCATAGGGGAGGTGCTCCAGCCCTCTGATCCCCTTTGTGGCCCTCCTCCACAGGTCCATGTCCTTCTTATGTTGGGGTCCCCAGAGCTGCATGCAGTACTCCAGGTGGGGTCTCATGAGAATAGAGGGGGAGAATCCCCTCCCTCGACCTGCTGGCCACGCTTCTTTTGATGCAGCCCAGGATATGGTTGGCTTTCTGGGCTGCAAGTGCACATTGCTGGGTCACGTTGAGCTTCTTATCAACCAACATCCCCAAGTCCTTCTCCTCAGGGCTGCTCTCAATCCATTCTCTGCCCAGCCTGTGTTTGTGCTTGGAATTGCCCTGACCCATGTGCAGGACTTTGCACTTGGCCTTGTTGAACTTCATGAGGCTTGCCATAGGCCCACCTCAATCCTGTTAGGGTCCCTCTAGATGGCATCCCTTCCCTCCAGCGTGTCAACTGCACCACACAACTTGGTGTTGTTGGCAAACTTGCTGAGGGTGCACTCAATCCCACTGCCCATGTTGCTGACAAAGGTGTTAAACAGCACTGGTGCCAATACCAACCCCTGAGGAACAGCACTCATCACTGGTCTCCACTTGGATATCAAGCTGTTGACCACAACTCTTTTAGTGCAACCACCCAGCCAATTCCTTATCCACTGAGTGGTCCATCTGTCAAATCCACCTCTCTCCAATTTAGAGACAAGGATGCTGTGCAGGACAGTGTCAAATGCTTTGCACAAGTCCAGGCAGATGACGTCAGTTGCTCTTCCCTTATCCACCAACACTGTAACCCCGTTGCAGGTGGCCACCAAATTTGTCAGACAAGATGTGCCTTAGTGAAGCCATGTTGGCTGCCACTATATCACCTCCTTATTTTCCATGTGCCTTAGCTTAGTTTCCAGGACGATCTGCTCCATGATCACGCTGGGCACAGAGGTAAGACTGGCCTTTTTTCCGATGCAGCCCAGGATATGGTTGGCTTTCTGGGCTGCAAGTGCACATTGCTGGGTCACGTTGAGCTTCTTATCAACCAACATCCCCAAGTCCTTCTCCTCAGGGCTGCTCTCAATCCATTCTCTGCCCAGCCTGTGTTTGTGCTTGGAATTGCCCTGACCCATGTGCAGGACTTTGCACTTGGCCTTGTTGAACTTCATGAGGCTTGCCATAGGCCCACCTCAATCCTGTTAGGGTCCCTCTAGATGGCATCCCTTCCCTCCAGCGTGTCAACTGCACCACACAACTTGGTGTTGTTGGCAAACTTGCTGAGGGTGCACTCAATCCCACTGCCCATGTTGCTGACAAAGGTGTTAAACAGCACTGGTGCCAATACCAACCCCTGAGGAACAGCACTCATCACTGGTCTCCACTTGGATATCGAGCTGTTGACCACAACTCTTTTAGTGCAACCACCCAGCCAATTCCTTATCCACTGAGTGGTCCATCTGTCAAATCCACCTCTCTCCAATTTAGAGACAAGGATGCTGTGCAGGACAGTGTCAAATGCTTTGCACAAGTCCAGGCAGATGACGTCAGTTGCTCTTCCCTTATCCACCAACACTGTAACCCCGTTGCAGGTGGCCACCAAATTTGTCAGACAAGATGTGCCTTAGTGAAGCCATGTTGGCTGCCACTATATCACCTCCTTATTTTCCATGTGCCTTAGCTTAGTTTCCAGGACGATCTGCTCCATGATCACGCTGGGCACAGAGGTAAGACTGGCCTTTTTTCCCCTTTTTTAAAAATGGGGGTTATGTTTCCCCTTTTTCAGTCAGTGGGAACTTCACTGGACTGCCACAGCTTCTCAAATATGACGGATAGTGGCTTAGCAACTTCATCCACCAGTTCCCTCAGGACCCATGGACCCATCTCATCAGGTCCCATGGACTTGTGCACCTTCAGGTTCCTTAGATGGTCTCGAACCTCATCTTCTACAGTGGGCAGTTCTTCATTCCCCCAGCCCCTGCCTTTGCCTTCTGTGACTTGGGTGGTGTGGCTTGAGCACTTGCTGGTGAAGACTGAGACAAAAAAGTCATTGAGTACCTCAGCCTTCTCCAAATCCATAGCAGCTTGTCCACTTTAAAGCTCAAGTGTTATCCTTGTTCAACAGGCAATTACCTTTAACAACGGGCAAAGCCTAATAATTTGCTTTCTAAGCATACTGTGTGTAGTCACAAATAATTTTAAGATCTATCAACCACCATTCTGTATAAAAACACTCCTTTGTAGTAAAAGGCACAAGTACTCATTATTCAGCAGATGGCACTTAAAGTATTACTTATTCTAGGTTATAGCCGTTAGCAAAGGGCATTGTTTTACTCACAAATAGTGATAACATGCTTTCCAGACAAGCTTAAAACCAAAGTCTTTATTCCAAAAGGTTTAATAGGCAGAGCTTTTTATCTAATTCTCTAAGAGTAAGACAAGATTAACATTTTAATCTGTACCAAGTAAAATTTAAAAGAAATTTTGGAGCAATTATTTATTTCATCTGTCATAGTTTTTCTAAATTCTACATCAGGAATACTGAGTGAGTACTGGAAAGACAATATAAACGTTCACAAATTACTTTGAGGAAAGAAACACAGAAATGTTATCTATCGACCTATACAGCTCGAGCACCAACATGGTTTCTTTTGAACACTTTAGCCAGAAGAGTTAAATCATTAAACTACACACACATGTGCAAGTGTGAGATGTCAGCTGTGATTAGTACAACTGTGTTATATAAGGAAGAAATTCAAAGTAATCTGGAGTCATTGAACAGAAATGGATTACTAGATGAATGGGAAGGAAAGGCTTTAAAAGCTTTTAATTATTTTAGTTCGAAACCTCAGAGGGTGCAAATTAAAGTATGAGTATCAGCTTTTGACTTGTTAGGAAAGTATTTTCAAAAAAACTTCAGAAGTTTATCATAACTAAAGCCCCTAACCAAGAATAATCACAGAAATATTAAACAGACCATCTACTGGGATAAATGGCATACTTTCTAAAGTACCTGCAACACATCCTCCATTAAAGGTCCAATGTTAAAGCTCACCGAAAGTCACAATTCCCATTCAGAATGCAAAGCAAAAATTTCTGTAAGAAAATCTGAAATAAATCCCCATTTTTTCTTGCCTAATAAAGAAATAATTCTGTAACAGTACATTTTGAGAATTTTCTCAGCCTATCAAGCACACCTATCTCAGGAGTCCTAACCAGAGCCAGATTTCACAGTGCTCCCATGTTTGTTACAGTCTCAGTTCTGTGGCAGGAAGCGTGACAGCACTGGCGTCCCCGATTACTAGGGTACATTGCTGCAAGTCACTCCTTTCCACACAACTCTTCCTAGATTTGGACAGATTCCTAGGTATAGTACCTATGTTTAACTTTAATTTATGAGATTATTTTGTGTGAATAAGTCTAAATGCCAGATCTAGATTTATAGCACACCAGAAACAAATGTTTATTTGACAGGCAGCATTATATAAAGACAACTTTTCCCATAAAGCTAGACAAAATAAAAGTACAAACTGAAAGAAAAACCCACAACCCTAGTAACTAGAAACATTTTATTGGAAAAGAACGCGCATATGAACTTTAAAAATAATCAGTTCATTTTGTCACCAACAAGGTAAGTAAATATTGCATCTAAGTAACAACTAAAGGTGCCTGGAAGAGGAGTGGGGTAAAAAAAAGGCTAATTGTTTTGCTGACAGCCAAAGAAGAAAGCAGAGGCAGAATCAGAACACAGAAATTCTTCCATCTTAACTCTCTGGTTGCTCCTCTGGTCCATCCTATCTTTAACGGCTAAAGTAGCATTACGTCTTCAGTTAACTATGTAAGTATTTTGTAGTATCTATTTACTGAGCAAAAATATGATTTGAAGTGTACGTTATTTTGGACTTACATGCCTCTAGGTTCTTTGCAGTAGATATTTAAAACAAAGTGTTGCAGTTCTTCCATATTCACTTTTTTTTTCCCTAAATACAGAAATATATCTTAAGCCTTCCCAGGTACCTGTACAAAAAAAATGCATTGGTAAAATCCAGCCAGAAAAGGAGCAATCCCTAGCTGGAGAGCACTTTTGAACTACATTCATATACTTGTGCCTACACAGCCACTACAGTAGTGGTAGGATTGTACTGTATTGCTGATTTCCACACAAGAAAAGCAACAAACTTTTATATCACTACTCAAATGTTAAAACTAATTTTATAGCTGTATAGTTAAAAACCATTCATTACTGAACCAACTACTGGTTCCCCCAACAAGAAAACAAAACAAAACAAACAAGAACACCAAAACCAAAATTAAAATTCACAAAATCCTACAATTGTCACAATTTCAGGATAAAAAATTCAGTTTTTACTATACAAGTGTAATTTAAATATTATTATTATTAATAAATTAGCTAAACTGCCATGCAATGGGGTTTACTTGATGAGCTTTGCTCTTGTGTTTGTATACTGCTGTTGGGATGGATTGTATTTCATGGAGCTAAAATACAACAAGCTACCCTTCTCAATTTCTCTCTAACGTAATGTTTGTAAATTCACATATCCTGCTCCGGGATCAGGAGTATTAACAGAATGTTATGAAATGTATTTCCATGGCTTCACGGGCACTTATAAATAGTACTCTACAATATTATTTGCATTGTGAACAAAAATAGCTTGTTTGTACCACTCACTTATTAAGAGGAAGGTAAAAGCAATCTGAGGTCACTTGTGTCCCTAATATTCTGAAAATGCAGTTATCCAAGCATATATACTGTTCTTGAAAATGCCCCTCTCTGTAGAGAAATATAACTGGCATGAAGGATTAGTGCATCAAGATTGCGGAAGGTATCAAAATGAAAGCCCGTAAGTACAGTTTTTATGGGTTTTTTTTTAAAGAAAGCAGGAGAATCTGTGGTATGACCATCTTATTACCATTTTTTAAATAAAGCTTCTCTTTTCCCCTTTTATTTTTCTCTTCCCATAAAAAACCCCAACCTCTCATCAACTCCAAGATCAGATTACAATCTGCTGAATCTAACAATCAGTCTTCTGAGCTAGCACTGATAGTGTAAATACAGAATAGTTTATGTTAAATGTAAAAACAGCATAAGCCCTGAATTATACAATAAAAGTTTAGGTGGGTCATCAATAACAATCAACATACACTGGCAGACATTTTCTGTGCTTTATTCTTGGAAGTATTCTTTCAGCTCCCAGGAGGGCTGTATGGAATACCATTCCACTTAAAAAGTAGGAAGTCTTGAGATTGGAAAGAAGCATTGCGGTACAATCTCACTATACTCTATGGCGGACTTAGTGATGGAATTTCTAGACCAAAACAAACAAAGGGAAAAAAAAAAAAAAAAGACCTCCAAAAAAACTTCCCCAACTGTCCAGAGATTAGGAAACCCAACCTGTCTTTCAACTTCACAGAACCTGAAACTGAACGTGCCGTGAATAGCTTGATCAAGTCTGAATCATAGTTTTACAGAACTTGTGACTAAAATAGCTCTATAACCTTGTGTTACAACTGGTATAAAAAGCCTGCCTCTACCTTTATCTGAAATCAAATTGTTTATCACATTCCTTCCTCATACATCAGCTCCTTGTGATGAAAGCAAGGCAGTGATTAATACTTTTTATTAGGTTGGTTCCAGTGACTTGAAATAAATTTGCCCTGGCTCCTTAAGCATGCTAACACACCCATTTCATGGCACTCCAACCATGCTAGGAATGCACAATAGAAAAAATTATCTTAGACGATACTTTGTAAATCTATAGCAATAAAATTAGCTGCATGACGGCTTCAAGCGCAAATCATCTTTGTGAGGTTCTTCCTCCCTCCCTGAAAAAGAAAAGAGGCAAACCAATAGGTTTAAAAACCTGGAGTCTCTTCTGTAACTTGTACTATTCTCTGTGCTTTTCTATAGCTCATTAAGCAAAGCATGCTAGAAGACAGAAATGGAAAGCTGTCCAAACTCCTTTCCATTTTGTAATTACAAAGTGACAAAATAAGAGGTTTTTTTCAAGTCTTGTTCACATAGCTATAATCTATCTTCTATTACACCAGGATCACAGATTTTATCTAAATTTACAGATTGAATTCCCTATGTACCCTTTTGCAGTGTAAAACCAAAACATAGTAGATAAAGGATGGGAAAGCTTGAATTAGCCTAGATGCTGTCTGACAGCAAACTATACTTAACAATTAACAACATCCTCTGTACTAATTACAGCTTGTCTTGGCTTGAGTGATAGCTGCTATTTCTTTGCCTTTGGCATGATGAGAGTAAGATCAACTGTACAAAAACCGGCACCAAGTTAAAAGTAATTCAGCACTGGATGTTTTTTTTTTTTAATTACTGATTGCCACCTGAGACTTGAGAACTGGCTAGACACTCATACCTTGCCTCAACTGGAAGCAGTTGTTTGAACTCCCTTCACAGCTGTCTATATAACGTCTACACAAGGACACCTCACACTGAGTTCTCTTCTTCAAGGTTTACAGATTATGAAGAGACCTATGTTTCAAAGGTGTGTTGACATAACTAGATTAATCTACATGCTTTCTTCTGTAAAATTACATAAGTGAAAAGTCATTTTTCTTCAGATTGTATGGTCTCTCCTCTAAGGACTTTTGTCACTACCCCTCTCTGGGTAGCCAAGCAGACCCTTATATGAAAATAATAGATCTACCTCAGAATTAAACCAGTAAACAAGGTTACCTAAGACCACTCTGACATGTTACCAGATCCTGCAGTATTATTCGTGGTTAAAATAAAAACGAACTCCACAAACATCTTTATGCCCAGGATGGGCGTACAGATGAATCCTGAGAGTAGGAGTTCAAACTTTCAGCCTGATTTAGACTTATTTTATGTAACCCGTCAATACATAAACTAACACTGGTGCACTTTCTGTGTTAAATTCGCAGGATCCCAAGATGCCTGACGTGTCTTGATGCCGCCCGCCTTCAGGGCAGCCTGGCCCGGGGGACTCTCGGCACGGAGGCTG